ATTCTACATTTTACAAACTGTATCCCTGTCTTGCATTTCCTGTTCAGAATAACATCTATTTCTTGATTATTTGATTATTTACTGCTACAAAATTGCAGTATCAACAGAAGAATATAGTGCATACTTAGTATTAGTCTGTGCTATGGAACTGGGGCACGCTGCATGATTGGGGGATTGTTTCCAGTGGGCTGCAGGAAAAACAAAAGGAGTTTTTGATCTGAAAACAAGCAAATACGCTGCCTGAAGCAGTAGAAAATGTTGTGGCCAGAAGTAAGAAAAATGCCTCAATAAAATCCACAAAACAACAAGTAAAATGATGGAAGAGGGGGGCTGGTTGTGGTTAGAGAACAGAAAATGGCACCATTGTCCCTGCTGCAGGTTCAGCACAGAGCTGAAACTCTAAAATAAATTGATCAGTCAACTGAAAGAATAGTAACTGTCAGGTATTTTGATAATTGATTAACTGCTTCAGTCATTGGTTGTACAAATCTGTAGATTTGACATTTGAAGACTATACCTTGGACTCAAATGGACGCTTTTTTTATTTCATAGACTAAACAATGAATCCATTAAAATAGTCATCTGATCTAAGATGAAAATATTAATTAGTTGCAACCTTAGTTTGCTTTATAGCATATAATGTATCAGGGTTGTAACTGATGATCTGTTTTGGATTATAGATTATTTTATTAATTTAGTGTTTGGTCTATAAAATCTTACAAAAAAAGCAAAATAAATCTATCACAATCTCCTAAAGCACAAGGTGAATATATCAGATGGCCTGCTCCAGTAGCTCAGAGAAAATCAGTTTGCGTGATAAATGACTTGAACGATTAATAGATTAATAAAACAGTTGCTGATTATTTTTCAGCTGACTGCTTATGTCGATAATGATGATGTATTATAAGACACTGGTGTCCAAGAAGAAGCAAAATATTCCTGAAAGTTATTCAAGAGACAAAAAACCTCTGACTAACAGTTAATTTCCTGCACCAGTCAGACGCACACACCCCTCCTCTCCTCACATGATCTTCCTGTCTATATCGCGGTGAATTGATGGCTTTCAGTTTAGTATTAGTAGCTTGCATAACTGGGCGTTTTCTTCCCCTCTTTCTTCTCTCTCAGCTGCTTAGCGCCCAGTAGAGCAGTGGATGATGGGAGCTCCGACACGGCATGATCTAAAAACCCACTGGCGCTTTAGTGTGCCTCAGCTGGCTTATATAACCCCGTGTGGATGTGCAAACTGCCTTGCTATTGGGAGAGCTGAGGACTCACAGAACAGACACACATACACACACACACACACACACACACACACACACACACACACACACACACACACAGGAGCTACTGATATGTGGTGTGTTTGTATGTATTTGTGTGTGTGTGTGTCAGCATAAGGACAGCAGATCAGACTGTGTGTTTGTGTGATGAAGCCGGGGTGCATGTTTAGCAGAATATAGTCAGATTTGTGTGTTTTCTGCTCAGCAACCGCAGCATCAAATATCTCCCTCCTCCTCGCTATGCTGTTTGATGACGTCATCGGTGTGTCCCCTCGATTTTGGACCGGCGAGCTCCCCAGCGATGTCACTTCCGCTGGGCCTTCACCTGAAGTGACATCATTTCTGTTGCATAACTATCCCCCCTCTCCCTCTCCTGCATGTGAGAGCAGAGGCAGCTTTTCTCTGTCTTTGGCCACCCAGAGGCGCCGTGAAACTCCTCATTATGGAAATACCAGGTGTGTGTCCATGAAATGGAAATGGGCAGATATAAAAATACATCACTGGGGTTTAACACAGAGACACCAACCAAGATGCTGTGTCCTCTGTGACCTCTTCGTGCACCCAAGAAACAGTTTAATGCTCTGAATCATCGGGGCTCTCTTTCAAGCCTGAGAGATGACAATAGGTGCTGTACAACTCCTGACATGAAATATTACGGGTGTGAGGGTGAAGAGAGGCAGAGTGTGAGAGACAGCGATCGAGAGAGGCCTGACCTATATAAGAAGGAGGCTGAAATATTTATGGATGTGAGTGTCCTAATTGGCAAGCCACTGGGAGCACTGCGGCCTTCTCCTCCAATCACAGCCTGGGAAGAGGTTAACACACACACACACACACACACACGGGCGTGCAGATGAGCGCCGGTGGTCCGAGGGGCCGGAGCGCGGCCTCTTCCCTGCGACCCTGTCATTCCCAGCCTGGGAGACGCCTCTTCATAAGACTGATCTGCCCTCGCCAAGGCTCCGGCATAGTTAGAATCATTACCAGAGCTGTTATCATAACCGTTCTCTCTGGCACATATGGACGGGAACAACCGCTCAGAGCGCTAAGTCAAACACAGCCTAATTGGCTGGGCTTAATCTCCAGCACTGGCACGCACTGCTCAGCTCTCTGAGAGGCCTCAATTACTGTCCCCGCTGATGGAGACGAGGAGACGGACACTTTCTGACTTCTAGTTTCAAACCACTGCAGGCAGGGGAGGAGGGGGTGTACCACATCATGGGTCAACAGGGGCTCGGGACATTGCCGTGTTTGTCAAATATACCAAAGAAATAGACATTATGATCATTGAATCATCAGTCATCACTGAGAAAACGACATTATTTTAATAATCACCCAACAGCAAAAGTAATTAGTTACATTACTTGATACATTAAAGGGGAACTGCTGAGCTGTGTGAAGTATGATACATGGTTGGAGCAGTCTACAAGTTTGAAAATGAAAAAACATCAGAGGGTGTGTGCAGTGAGTTTAACAGCCTTCTGGAGCCTGCTCTTCATTCATCTCTGCTTGAGGCTAGAAGCTACATTAGCTGCTGGTAGCACAACACACCCAAATCCTTGAGCGAATTGCTGATCGTCAGGTTGCATTGTGGGTAGTGTAGGCGCCAGGTTTTGACAAGAAGGAAGAATTTGAGGAATAAAAAAAGACTAACAGACTCTGGTTCTTGTGCGTGATCCAACATGTTGTAAAGGTGCGATGCTAAATCGGCGGAGAACTCTTTTAATTGTGTTGCTCAGCCCTTAAACAACTCCACAGCCTCCCCACATGTCACATAAGTGTGGAAATAAAAATGAGACATTATGGTTTAAAAAGCCCCATCCTCGCAGTGAAGGTTTAGGCTAGAGTTCACACTCTTCCTGAATGTATGTTAGGCTTACCAGTGGCTAACATTAGCCAAGTCAGCTAAGAACCTACAGCATGTAATTAAGACAAATTTGGAGTTAGTGGGAGTCTCATTCCTCCTTTTCTGTCCAGCCCCTGTGCCAAGTTAACACATTCGAGTGCAATCTCTCCACTGACTCCAAACTGTAATGTAAAGACTGAATTTCAAATTGTAATCCCTTACAGAACTCGTTATACTGAAAAAAGTGATTATAATTAAACGTACAATTTGTTATAGACTCTCAGCAGGCGTGGTGGAGCAGTGACTAAAATATGCAAATTCAAGTAGAAGTAATATTTCTGTGTTACATAAGTCATGTTAGGGTACTCCTATTAATCGGTAACTGATCGTTATCGACCAATATTAGCTCTAAACAGTTTGATTGGCAGACTCTAAAAACGCTGATCAGATGACACGTTTATTTTATTCCAAAGGAGAGTTATAGCTAAATACAGATTAAAGTAGTTTGTGAGTAAACACTAGAACATTCAAATAAAGTGGAGAAGTAAGTAGAATTAAAATGTTGAAATGAGAAATATATTATATTCGCCTCTCCTCCCCTGCTACAATTACACTGTAATTGTCTGGGAAACACTGTATATTTGTTAAGCTCTAAGCTGCTCCCAATAACCAGCGCAAAAGAGAGAGTGGAATATGTTGCCTACCAATAAATAAACAACTCATGATTTTTTCTCATCTCTCAGTGTTAATACTTAATATACAATGTTGTTAAGAATAGTTGAATAAATAAGACCACACTATAAACAGAAGGCTTAAAATAGATGCTGTTTCCAGTGATCGGTGATTGGATCATTACATGTCCAATTAATCGCTATAATCCTCCAACCGATGCTTTTCCAAAGCGGTGAGGATATCCAAAAAGTTTTCTAAACAGATTGTCCTACAACAAAGAAGACATCCAAATCAGAAAAGAAAATCCTTCCCATTGGACCAGAACCGCACAAGTGCAACATTTCCATTATTGTCCTTCCAAAATTAAAACTAATTTATAATCTGCTGAAGTAACAGTAGATTTCCTGGTTTAGTGTGTACAAAAAATACGCATAGCAATATTACATTACAGCACGGAGAATACTTAAAATTGGTAACTTGTGTCTGTTGCACCAATGTGACAGTGGCCATAGAAATGGCTGTCTTCAGCATCAGTTGGTAACCGTAGCAACATATTCAAATGAATATCACCATTCATTATAACCGGTAATGAAAAGTGTCGCGAATATGAGTATATTAAATCTGTTTCTAATTTCAGACTTCATGACTGTGGAGTCTGTAAGTCACAAATAACATCTGGGGCACATTAATTGGCCAATCAGAAGAGAGTATTGAGCTAGCGATACTAACAGTACATCATGAGCTCCGAGTCATTGTTGTGATTTTTAGGATTAGCAGGCAAATGAGTTCGACAAGCATCTCTGTCTTGCTTAGACAAAGGTAAAGAGAGCAGAAATCAATGGGCTGTGTTTACAGGGTACACAGTCGACTGTAACACTGCACGTTATGTTACACACAGCCAAGCAGTAAAAACAGACGAGCTGCTTGGCAGGACTCAGCCTGGCCAGCCTCGTGCTAAAAGCAGGCAGAGACAGCAGTGACACACGGGCCAAAAGCAGTTACTGGCACTGCGCTCCAGTCTCAGACAGAGCAAAAAAAAAGTGGGACAAATTTTTCAAAATATTCAGAGTAAATGTCAAGAGAACGTGGGGAGAACAGCCTGATGTGGTTTATTTTCCCTCGTGGTCACTTCTAAGACACTCAATTTAATGTGCAAACAGGATTTCTCTGTGTGAAAATAGGGAGACAAAGATACTCACGCAAGAAGTACTCAGATGGGTCCGCTTCGTAATCTGTTTCCTCAGGAAAGTGGTCTATCTGTTTACACATCCCCTTGAAGTTTCCTGTTGGGTGAAACAGAAGCAGAGTTCAGTAGAGCTCATACAATAAGACACCAACAGATGATCTGCTAACTTCAACCTTTTAGTGACTCAAAAACACTCCAGTTCCTTTAGTTTTCAGCACAGATCATTTCAAACACTTCATATCAGCAGACCCTGTTCTCTGGTCATGGCTCTCACACAGACCAGAAGATGCTCTTCAGAATCAGACCTGAGCACCAGGCCTCTCCGGCAGCAGGTGGCGGCTTGTAAACAAGAGCAGCGCAGCTGGTGCGACCTGGAGCCGCTCCAACTGCTGTGCACAGGGAACCTCATCTCTTAATGCTCGTTCATTTGGCTGACACCTCGCCGTCCAGCAACTCTGTCCATCCAGGAAGCAGCCTGCCGGCATCCCTCTCTTCTCCCTCCCACTTCCTCCTGTCTGCTTTCCTCAATTCGCGGCCTCTCAGTGGAGGTTTGGCATTGATGAGGTCACTCAAGGTGGCGTGGCGGGGGAGGCGCGCATAAGGCGGCCATTACTGCGGCCTGCTGCTGCAGCGAGGAGGCAGATGCCTGGGCGTTTGATTGGACCAGATTAGCGTTTCATTAACTTTCTCATCTCTTCTCCCTTCAGTGTCCCTCTAATTAGGTGAACAGGTGTTGGTTACCATGGTGCCAGGTGTTGCCAAGGAGGGTTTGGCAGCGAGGCATGATGGGCACAGCGTGGTGCAGTTATTTCATTTGTGAATGGCCCACATATAGTGGAGAGAGAGGGACCCCCCGGTGATGACCACTCAGACATTAGAGAGAGTGTCACCTGGAAAAAAGAGAGCCATCAAAGCGCCCTCGATCTGCTCTCCCACCTGCATACAGTATTTGTGTCGGGGCTACCTGGCGGCTGGCAACCGCCGACGTCTGTTCAGAGACTCAACTCAGGATGGACTTATTTAGATGGAGGCAATGTTTGTTTTGATTGTCTCCATGTCATTTGTCAAGTTTCCCTCCAGATGTGGCAGCAATTTTAATACAATTTCCGGAAAATCTGTAAAATTTAATTTAGGTGACTTTTCAACCATCACTGTTACTGGCGCTAATAAAACCGTTAAACCTGAATTTTATATTTAATTTTTGGACAAAAAGGGACGGTAGGGACAATAGTCTGGAAGCGCATATTTTACCATACTCTCTTTTTTCCATACTCATCCAGACCTGGAAATAACCAAAATCAAATCCCATTCTTTTCCTGCATGCATTGCACTTTGTTTTTATCAATGCACAAACTTTTCCACCTCATGCAAGTGTTACAGCTTTTTTTGCAATATTTCCTCTACTTTGTTTAATTTATAGCATTTCCAGGTTTTTTATGTGTAAATTAAAAATGTGCATAATATGCACTGCATCGTGCACTGAGTTTAATGCAGGAAACACTTTTTTTACTATCAGGAACCTTCCCAGGCTTTAATCTGTGTGTTTGTTGCTGATACAGTGGTACCGGACCAATCACCATCCTTTGAGGAAGTATTGGCAGCTACGGGAGGGGGCGCTAGGTGTGGCGCAGCGAGAAGACACTGTTAAATAACAATGGTGACTCCCATAGAGGTAAGCGTTATATCAGAACTGGAGTATTTCTTCATTGAAAGAAGAGCAAAGAATGGCACTTTTCTCAAGGGAAAAGATGTTATCGAACTCCTTCCGACTGGCTTCAGTAAGAGTTTGACTAAGTTATATGGTTTGTTGATCAGATTTGTTGAAGTTGATAGACAGACAGTTCATGCTTTTTTTGAAAGTGCTTGCCCTTTCCCAAACAGCTTCCAATGACAACTTCCCAGATGGTTCAGTGTAACAAACCAGTGTGGGAACCTCTGCATGAAAAAGCCACTAATCCTTGATGGACACAATCCAATGTTCCGACTATGTGTGTGTGTGTGTGTGTGTGTGTGTGTGTGTGTGTGTGTGTGTGTGAGTACACTCCTCTCTCCCACTGTCTCAGCTCTGGCCCATAATCAAAAAACACTTATAGATTTTCATCAACAGGTTCTGTGGCAATTAGGACAAGAGAGAGAGAGAGAGAGATAAAGACAGAGAAAAGCAGGGAGCAAGACAATGTAATGGGAAGGAGGAGGAGGAGAGATAAATATAGGAAGGGCAGGGAACAGAGAAGTTTTGAAGGGCAGAGAGGGAAGATGGAGCGGGAGGTGGAATACATCAAGTTTGAGTGTCACAGTTTAGCTCTCCTTAATTCCTGAGCCATGAAAAAGCCCTCCAGAGTTTAACGGACCTGCACAGTTTTGAACTTGATGCTCTGATATACGATGATAAAGCTTTCTCTTTCGGTGGCAGACTGGAGATGGAAGGTGATCTCTGTTAACTAGCGCGGTAGCATAAAACTCAGAGCATGTAATCCTCGGAAGCTTTGCTGGAGATGCTCGGCAGCTAGCTGTAGTATGCCAGCTTTCAGATGTGGGCTGGTGCATACTGTAGGTGTAACCCCGCCGCCTCCTGCAACTACTCCCCCAGGCTGCTGCTGGAAATAACAATATGTTCCTCTTCAACTTGCCTGCTTAAATAAGCTTTAAATAAGTTGCATTTCCAGGAGAGGAGAAGGGAAGGGAGGGGAGAACATACTTGTGCCGCCTCTCATAGCGTATTTCACTGCAAGATGACTTGTGTTTACATACGACTACGTTGCACGATCCCAGTGGAGCTGCCTGAGCAAACTAGCAGCAGCAGTAATCCACAGAGCACCGTGTGTGTGTCTTAACAACATTATCAAGTGGGTGTAAGATTTGGTTTGCAGCTGGCCGTCCCATCCGCAGTTGTGCGTTTTGTAATAGCAGCTGTGGAGAGTGGCCTATTGGGGGAACCACTTCAATTAGCGTGCTGAAAGATTTATGTGACACTTAACCGCTCCAAACGGTCCTTTTCTTGTAAGACATGTAAACTCAGCAGGCTGGTAAATGTTTTATAATGACATTTTCATTTCAGAGACCTCCCCACGTGAGTGTGAGCGCAGGGCCGAGGCGTGGAGAGAGCCGTTTGGCCATTAAGAGCTTTGGCAGGGGGACTGCTGTTGAATGGAGAGGTGTTACCGGAGGCTCAGGTGTGTAGTGGGTCAAAACACTTATGACTCAAAGAGAAACACCTGTATTCACAGAGCAACACTTGCACTTTCAGCACAGTACGCTGGATTACTGAGGACTGTGTCTTGCTTTTGCAGTTTCACATTTACCCCACGGCAACTGGATGAACAGACAGGAGAGGGACATTTAAAAGTCCATTTAAGATCCCAAATGTTTTGTAAGCTATCAAATTATAGCCACAAGAATCAGGCTGCAAGATCTGAGGGCTTGACAACAAAACCAGACTACAGCCAATGACAATGCTAACATGCTGGTGTTTAGCAGGTATAACCATGTTTACCATCTTAGTTTCTTACTGAAGCCAGTCGGGAGAAGAGCTTTCCATTGAGAAAAGCCTTCAGTGCCGTTCTTAGCTCTTCTTTCAATGAAGAAAATAATACTCTCAAGTTCTGATGTAACTGATGTAAAGCAAACGTTCACTTCTCACACATGTTGTCACGTACTAGCTCATGCTGTAACTGCAAGTAGTTCCTCAAAGGTTGGGACTGCCACTAGGGGTCACTAAAGCTTTATGGGTGGTTGCAAGGCCTTCTTAAAAGTTTGTAAGAAAACTTAAAAGTATACGCAGTAGGTCTATATCTCAGCAGTTCGTTCATTTCTGTGAAGAAAACCAATTGAAATTGTATTTTTCTTTAAGTTTAGACAGTGTCGATAGTATGTTTAATTGTTAGGAAAAAAAACACAAGTAGAACTTGGTCTGGGGTCTTTAGTTTTCTCATCAATAGAAAAGGGGTCCCTTAAAGAAAAAGGATGGGAACTACTGGTTTTAAACCTCAGTGATTGGGACACAAAGCATAGCTTGAAGCTTGGCAAGATTCTCATGTGGTGTTGTGATCTGTTTCGTGATGATAGCACTAGTTGAAAAGTCACCAAAGTTATTAGAATTCATCCTGAGGGGAACATAAATGTCTGAACTAAAGTTTATGGCAATCTAAACTGTGGTTGTTGAGACATTTCACTCAAAACCACAAACATCAAACTAATGGTGGCGCCAGAGGAAAAGTCATGGGATCACCAAAGTCAGGATTCATCCTCTGGGCACTTTGAATAAAGGCAAAATTCATAGCAATCCATCAACTAGTTGTTGAGATATTTCAGTCTGTACCAAAGACAGACTGCCATTGCCATCCCTATTAGCCACAGAACTATAACTAAAACCATTAACTACTGTATGTTGTTACAACCCTTTTAATTTTAAAAACATTTTGATGAAGAAATTGGCATTTTTACTGCCTATGCCTTCTGGCACATGTGAGTATCCTTACTGGCAAGCTACTGAGAGAAATAAATACAATTTAGCTCAATAGGAAGGAGATACAGTCAGGTTTTAATATTATAATAAAAACATTTGGTATATTTTAGGGTATTTAATTCTCTAAAGACAAACATTATGACGTGAAGGGTCTACTAACAAGGTGAAACAATGTGTTTCCTGACTTTAAGGGCAGTGAGTCAAGCTTATTTAATCACTGTTGCAGTCTCAACAGGCTTCAGATAATTTAACACAACAAATGAAGATGAAACCCAACGAACTTTAAACCCCTAATCGAGAACAAGGTTTAGGTTTTGTGTTGAAATCCAGACGGTAACTGTAGCCCGCTCACCCTGACTCAACAGTATAAATCAAGTGGTAATAATTTGTAGAGCCGTCATTAAAAGAGGGAGCAGGTTATCTGAGATCTCCTGCTGGGATTGATCCACCATCAAAACCCCTCGGATCCTTCTGCTTGGGTCGGGGTGACGTGTATTAGTGTGCGTTTGAGGGAAGTTTGGGAGGGGAGGGTGGGTGGTTTGTTCAGACTTACTCAATCAGCCCAACCGCTGGCCACTGTTCCCCCCCCATAGTGTGAATGAGCTATGGGCTAACCCCATGCCCCCTGCGTC